AACCTAGTCTTGACTACTAGTACTACTGATACGTCCCACAGATCAAGGGTTGAGGCGGGTGTGTAGGAGCTGCTCCACATTCAGCTTTGCTAAGATGCCATTGGTGGCTGGCAGGAGGCTCTAAATGAGATCATCGATCTCATTGTCGTCCGATCCTGGTGGAAAACCCTGCTACACCACTCGGATGTTCACCGCCTCGCCAAACTAAAGTTGGGCAGCGGCCAGCGTTGTGGTAGCCGCTTGATGAATGGCTTCTGACACCACAACTGCCTTGTCTTCTCGCGCCTAGGTGGCTTCTTGCTAGGCCACGACAAGTGCGGCGCGTGTGGCCACCAAGTCACTGCGTAGCATGTCGACATGCAGCCTGGATGCACAAAACGCTACTCGGACCTTGTGGTAATGATTCAATAACTTATGATATTTTTTGTCGCCTAAAGATTCGCCCACTTTAGAACCAGAGGGCTATGCGGGGATAGACGGGCTCGGTGGCAGCGAACGGTGATGGGATGACTCTCTGGCACCACCGGTGGGAAGCCCCATGATGGGGGGCGGCGCTGCCATGAAGGAATCGCTGCACAATGCAAGACAAGTTCAAGTCCAGATGATAAGGGGGAGAGCGATCCGATTTAGAAGGCCGAAAAGTGCTCGGACATGTCCTCGATGGCATGGGCCAGCAATAACAAAAGAGTCCACATAGCCTGCGACGACGGCGAAGTGGAGCGCACCGGGAGTGGCAGTGGCGAGGGAACCACCGATGCTGCTGGTGCCAGCATCATCATCGAGGGCGACAGGGAGAGCAATGGCAGTCTATGAGACAATGGGCGGGAGCACGATGGGAACATCAGTTTCCCGTGACTGGACATCGACGCCGCCTCTGCCGACACCGAAGTAGGGTGCACCATCGGCCCCGCCTCCTCCGAAGTGAGGAGAGCGAGTACACTAGAGGAAGTGAGGACCGGAGCGAGGCAACCCTTCCTCGAGTAGTGCTTCATGGGCACGGCCTTAGTTGCAAGCGATGGGGTGGCAGAGTTTGGGACTTTGCAAGGCGAGGCGAGGGGTTTTTGTGCAATGCAAGGTGGATTCAAACAATGGGAGTGAGGCTAGGCTTTATGTATACACAAGGCGGACCTTCTGTATGCTATAAAGAATGTCATCCAACTAGCACCAAGACATATTAGTTCTAACTGCAGATGATTAACATGACTTCATACTAGTTCTAACTACTGATACATCCCAAAGATCAAGGGTCGACACGGGTGTGCAGGATCTGCTCCATGTTTAGCTTCGCTAAGATGCCGTTGGTAGCTGGCCGGAGGCTCTCGATGAGATCATTGATCTCATTGTCGTCCGATCCTAGTGGAAAACCCTGCTCCACCACTCGGACATTCATCGCCTCGCCAAACTAAAGCTGGGCAGTGGCCAGCGCCGTGGTAGTCGCTGGACGAACGGCTTCTGACACCACAGCCGCCTTGTCTTCTCGCACCTAGGTGGCTTCTTGCTGGTGCATGACAAGTGAGGTGTGCGTGGCCACCATATCACCGTGCAGCATGTCAGCGTGCAGCATGGACACAAACAACAACTCTCAAACCTCGTGGTAATGCTTGAATAACTTACGGTATTTTTCATCGCTGCCCACTTCAGAACCAGAGGGCTATGTGGAGACAGACGGGCTCAATAGTGACAAACGACGATGGGACAACTCTCCGACACCACTAGTGCAAAGACCCACAACGGGGGCGGTGCTATCATGGAGGAATCGCTGCACAATGCAAGACAAGTTCAAGCCCAGATGATAAGTGGGACAATGATGAGATTTAGAAGGCAAACAATTAACCAATCTAACCTGCACCACATGGCACGAAATCGTCGATGGCTGCCCCCATTAGCGATCTAGCCCTGGTTCCTCACCAGCGTGAGATGCCGGGCAACCTTCTTGTGGACGGCGTACGTCCCGTGTGGGTGGTTGTTAGCCCAAGCGAGGACATGCTCCCTAACAATGGACTATGTCCAACCACGGGGCGCACTCTCTGGGCAAAGGGGGTAGACCAGCAAGCCATAGCAGCTGGTGCGTATCATCAGCTTCTAGCTCTCGGGGATGGGAGTTGCGTACCCGTGTTGACGATCATCCTCTGAGTCAGTCATAATGCTTGCGGCATGGGCCAGCAAGAATAGAGGAGACCTTGCAACCTGCGACGACGGCGAAGTGGAGCACACCGAGAGTGGCAGTGGCGAGGGAACCACCGGTGCCGGTGGCGCCAGCATCATCATCGAGGGCAACGAGGAGAGCAATGGCAGTCTAGGAAACGGCGGGCAAGAGCACGATGGGAACACCGGTCTCCCGCAACTGGACATCGACACCGCCTCCGCTAACGAAGCAGGGCGAACCATCGGCCCCACCTCCTCCAAAGCGGGGAGAACCAGTACACTAGAGGAAGCAGGGACTGGAGCCGGAGGATCCTTCCTTGAGCAGTGCTTCATGGGCACGGCCTTAGTGGGATGCGATGGGGAGGCGGAGTTCATGACTTTGCGAGGTGAGGCGAGGGTTTTTTGCACAATGCAGGGTGGAATCAAACAATGGGAGTGAGGCCAGGCTTTATGTATACACAGGGCAAACCTTCTGTATGCTATAAAGTTAGTCAAACTTAAAATTGTAAACGACACTGTAACAAGCATCATAGGAAAAAGAGGAAAAACTACAAAGGATACTGTCCGACGCGTTCAAATGTACAGAGGCCTGACTTTCTTACTCGTGCAGGGGTGCATGCTCGTACAGAAAAAATACGATCAGCACCGGTAGACTTTGAACAACGAGATATATATATAGTTGATGTTGTTGCCAAATTTAAATAAAGTCACAAACTAGATATTTATACATAAATGTTTAACACAAATTAACATGCACTAATTCAGAATTAATCTACCACATTGATGTGAATAAGTTATAGCACTCCCGTGAGATCCTACACTCCTCGCTACAGAACCTAGTCCACATGTCCCATACTTCAAATCCAACGGGCACGCCACAGCCGACACTTGTGCACTGATGCCGTCCCAGGGAAGAACGGGGGGAGAATAGGCACTACAACCTATGGCACCATGCCCTACAACAGCCAGTGCACGTCTTGGTGGCACCACGTATAGGTTTGGTTCTTCCACGGTAGTGTAGCTGGCCCTGCTTCATCAGCACCTTCGAGCTTCTTCAACAGGCGCCGAGCAATGTCATCGTTGCCGACGCCGGTATTGGACCTATAGAGCATGAGGGCATAGACATACATACCAAGTTTATGGCCTCCCTTGGTAGAGTGTTGAAGCCATTCCATCGGCAGTGTCAATGACCTATGGGCTTCCACAAAGATGGGACGCAAGCCAGAGAGGAAGCAGGCATCCAGATTGCCCACGCTGTCTAGCCTGGTGGTGAGTAGGGCGTGATAGTTGTCGTCGTAGTAGTAGAGCTCCCAAAAACCTTGACACTGCAGCACCCGGCGCAGTGGTATGCACCGGCCGACTTCGGTGGTGCCACACACCCTGCACATGAATGAGCAGGTTGCCCGTAGGCTGGCAAGGTCGTCCATGGGGGCATATGACTGTTCAGCGATGCGGCCAGCGATGTCCATGGCCAACTCCATCAGGAGCCGATCCATCACGATGTAGCCAAGGAAGAAGCAGAGTCGGAGGGCGCGCGACGAACGACGACCGATGCGGCGTCGGAGCGGAGTACGAAGGCATGACTATGACGAGGCAGAGAGCGCTGGGGAAATATGGTTAGCGGTTTATGTAGGCGGAGACTCCGTGTTCTGGAAGGATCGCATATACCATGTAAACATGTCTCGGGGAAGTGAATCGTCCAATGCGATGGTTCTTTCTCGAGGAACCAAATGGCGTCTCGCTCGAGTTCTAGGTGTCTGTGTAAATGTGTCTCAGGAAAGTCTCAGGAAAGTGAATCGTAGCAAATCTTGTGTTAATAGAAGATCTGTAATCATGTGGTTCTCTCCTGTTTAGGGCTCCATACTCGATTGGGGGTGCTTCAAGTTTGCGTGGTGCTCGTTCAAGGGCTCCATTTTCCCTTGTTCTTGGAAAATTAGCAGAGGAGTAAACAAAGTTCCATTCGATGTATGTCACATTGCATAGTGCACTAAAGTCCGGCCTGTGTTGTTTCTCAGCGGCCGGACAATCCTACGTGCCGACCCAGATTTAAAAATAGGGCCCAAACTTAAAATTGTAAATGATACAGTAACAAGCATCATAGGAAAACGAGGAAAAATGAGACTTGCTCGTATGAACTTGTCGCTGCATAGTTCTTGCAAATTCAACAAATTTTATCTAATACATGCAAATAAGAGGAGAGCACTTCAATCCCACTACTCAATGTCATCCAACTACTACCAATACATACTAGTTCTAACGACAGATGATTAACATGACTTCATACTTGAGAAAACAAGCTTTTGACCACCATGACACGCTTGAGACTTGAATGCCTGGTGCAGTTGTGATGGGTCTTTTTTGTACTTTTTTTTACTCCAATCTAAGCAGACTGGTTGCTACGACATTCAAAACTGACGACCCTTTATACTGTGTCATACGAGATCAAATATACAGTGACCGGACTTTCTTGCGTTTGCAGTAAAATTCAACAGCAAACGACCCTATTGGTTGGTTTTGCCTGCAGGTTTCTTTCTGATTCTCTTTCTGATCTATAGTATGGTAAACATGCATAACGGAATTCATCTCGTAACTGTCCCCCCATTCATCCTGCATCTATTTAACACCAGGTTCCCTTTAAATCATTCTTGCTCCAACTCCAAACTAATTCAAATCATAGCTACAAACTAAGCCACTAGACCCATAGAGTAGCCATCGCCATGAGCTCCATCAGAGATCCTGCTGCCTAGTTTTCCACTTTCAAACACCGCGTCAAGTGTAGAACGACGTCAAAGAACATCTTCACCATCAAGGATCCATCTGGTAGGATCATCCTTGAAGCATCGTTCTCTGAGACCCTAGAATGCATGGTGACCAAGACCCTCAAAGCCAGCGGTCATTGGTAGCCGGTGTACCTCCTGTATGAAGGTGGCAGTGCCACCAGGATCTTGAAGCCGAATCAAGCCATGGGCATCCCCTACGACTAGGAAGGTGTTCGTGATGTCCTCCGTGGCTTGATGAGGACATTCACGTGGCTGCAGCAACTCAATCTCACCGACGAGCAGTGGGAGGACATCCTTCAAGAGCCCAAGGTTCTTGAACTCATGGACCTGGTGCGCGAGGCCTGCTAGGATGTCTACATCGTCCATGCCACGCTTGAGCTTTGGGTCAATGAACAGTTGAAGTTGATCGCGTCCGAGGTGCTCTTGACACTCTGCATGGAGGTGGAGGAGGCGCCAGCAGGGTGTCGGGACTGTAGCATCTACCTAGAGGATGGAACATCTAATCCTATGTCCGACCATGCTGTGGAAGTACCTAACTATGGCCACGCATTCCACCACAAGTGCATCACCAAGTGGTTCAGCCGAAGATCCACCTGTCCGATGTGCCGACGAGATTTGTCTATGTATCTTCACCCGGCAGTGCAGAGATTCCTCTTGCACTTCACCGAAGAGGATTATTGATTAAGCTCATTGTTTTATGTTGTATAAAATACTTACTATTACGCATCATACTCCTCTATATATATTTGGTCAAAATTTAGAATCTTTGAGTAAATCTCCGCTTCATCGCTTTCTCCGCTCTATCACTCTAACCGCCGCGATCTCATCCGCAACTCCGCTTGTTTTATTTCCTACCTTCCCGGAGCTCTCCCATTCCCTCTATAGATCTAAACCACAAGCAACGTGTGGTTGCCTTCTCGTACATGTGCTCAACACATAAAATACATGACTTCGTGCCATCAGGCCAGACACCCAATGCAACAAAAAACAAACAGAAACCAACTGAGGAAACTTCATCCACTACAACATCTTCACTATCTGAGGCATTCAAAAAATGGTAGGTGGACTTTCTTGCTTGTTCAGTAACATTTCAACACCAATGGCTCTTTTTTGTATTAGATTAAGGCCAGACTTGCTCCTCGGTTCAAGGTTCTGGCAAGTTTAACAAAGTTTGACACAAACATGCAAATAACACAACATACTATATTAGCAAGGGTTCCTACTACATGAGCTCAACACATACACTACATGACTTCGTGCTATCCCACAGATCAAAGCTAGTCATGGCTACTACTAGTAGTAGTACTACTACTGATACATGACAATGAATAGTACCCAGAGCACATAAAATCTCAATGTTGTCGAATTAGTTTGGTCTTGTTGAGATAGTTGAGGTCATAAGGACTTCTGATCAAGTTGAGACAGTAAACCATCTTGAAAATGACACAGTCTCCACTAAAGTCGACACTGTAGTCAGAGAGCCGATGGGCATCCGCAACAGTGCTGCAAAGCACAAAGATTTCTCTAGAATCATGGTCTTCAACAACTCTGGTAATGCGTTGTTGCCCAACAACCGCACGAACAAGAGCTTCAATGATTAGGCATCGCGTAGCTCGGTCATGTACACGATGCCCCCAAGTCACAAGCAACCTATTTTGTTCTCCTGGCTCCACACCTAGCTGTGAATGCAGCAGGAGAGCTGGACATAAGAACAAATCGAGAAAAGGAGCTTTTGACCACCATGACACGCTTGAGACTTGAATGCCTAGTGCGGTTGTGATGGGTCTTTTCTGTACTTTTTTTACTCCAATCCAAGCAGTGACAACAGTCGAGGGGCGGACTGGTTGCTACGACATTCAAAACTGATGACCCTTTATACTGTTTTCTATGAGATCAAATATACAGCGACCGGACTTTCTTGCGTCTATAGTAAAATTCAACAGCTATGTCTCATCCATCATGCATTAGATCTAAGGTGATACTTGTAGAGATGAACTCCTTGATGCATGGTTCTTGCAAGTTCAACAAATTTTATCGAATACTACTAATACATGTTTGGTTCTTGCAAGATCAAGGCACTCATGACTACTAGTACTACTGATGCATGTTTGGTTAAACAAACCGAGGCACAAAGCAACCCTTGTGCGGTTACGATGAGTGAATTGAATGCATGAGGAAAGCCTCTGTAGTTATTTCACTCCAAGTATTCACAGCAATCGAGGGGTAGACTGAAGAGTGAAGACAAGTTGCTCTTGCTTTCGTAAGCAATTTCTCTTGCTTGGTTTTGCAGAGCAGCAGCTAGCTAGAGATGGCTACATGGTTTCATAGGTCCTGATTGTCTGCACTCGCTCGGCTGTGGCTGAAGATGCCGCTTCAAATCCAACTACCTTACTAGTACTTCATGCATGCAGCCATAGCCGATGCAGCTGTTCTTTGTAGCACAACCGATCTGGCAAAAGTTGTAGTCATAGCTCAGTAGCAGAGTAAAATGTCCGGACTGGTCAAATTTACACAACTCGAACTATGAGGCGTGCATATGATTTGCAAGAAATAGGTAAACGTTATTTCATCAATATTGTACTTGTCTATATATATTTGGTCAATAGAGTTTAACCCACCTAATACAAAGTTCAACAAAACTCCATTTACATGGATATTATTACAACAAGATAAACTAAAGAACATCACAATTGTCTCCAATGAACATTAAAAACACAAATCAGAACATCAGTGTTATGAGATAGTAAACATTAACATCATCTGACCATGTTGCTACTGCTCAGATGAGAGGAACTGCACGAACTCCACCAATCTCTAGATCTCTCGGATGGATTGTAAGGTAACGGATACGATGAGAAAATACTTCTGCACCACGGAACTCATAGCGGTAGGAAAGCAAAGTCTAGAGATTTGCATTTGAATGAACCACAACAAAAACATAGGGTCCTAGATGATCCTTAGCAAGATGGTAGTTTCGATGGAAGAGAACTTGATGAACAACTATAGAAGCAATGTACCACCGACTATAAAAGTTAGAATGCACTGCAAGCACTACAACCCTTGTTTGTAGGCCATGGTGAACACAAAGCTCATGGAAGACATAGCGATACACAGACATGTCTCAAGAATGATCATAGTTATCCATGATCTGTGTAAAAAGGAAAACAATATGCAGAAAAAAATGAAGAACAAAGATGCCCAATAGTAGGGAGGAGGGCAAAAGCTTTGGGATGGAACTGAAACATGAGCTCTAGAGAGCCTTCCTATCACCCCTTGTCTCTGCTGTGTATATATAGTTCGTGGGTCATGGACCACACGACCCACGCGCGCACGGCTGCACGCCCATGACCCCACATATACGGTGCAAGAGTTGACACGATCTGTATTTTATTATTTCATCAAAACTATGATCCAGCCTGTCAAGATTTCTTTAGTATCGGACTGTCTTAGGCCCTGTTTGGATGGACTGTGACTAGTTAGCCATGGCTAAAAGATAGCCAACTAAGAATCAGCCAATTAGTTGTGTTATTAGTCTAGACCTGTTTGTATCCTCAACTAATTGTTGGGTTCTATAGATTAGAACTAGTTGTTAGCCCTGGTAGTCGGGTACTATGGACTACTTGGATGGCCCCTATATTTCATAGTGATCCAGATGGTCTATATTTTGTAGGGTTGGACTGTCTTAGGGTCTAGAAAATTTCAACATCTATACACCCACGTCCTCCGATCAGAAAGGGCAAACACCATTAGTATAACCAGTTACCAAATGACCAAAGGACCTGAGCTACACAACGCTCAACAGAGTTTAACCAACTTAGTACAAAGTTCAACAAAAGTTAACACAAATATGCATGCAAATAAGACTTCACATATGGTCGTCCCATAGACCAAGCCTAGTCATGACTTGTACTACTGATACATCCCACAAATCAAGGGTCAATGCGGGCGTGCATGATGTTGTTGTCCACGTTCACCTCCGCTAAGACGGCGTTGGTGACCGTCTCGAGGCTCACGAACAATGGGGACATACTCAAGTGATGGAAAGTACAACACCGACTGCGACTCTAGTGATGAGGAGGACGATCTGGAGTACTAGCAAGTCAGCGAATCGCAAGAGCGCTAGCTAGGATGAGGATGCTTTAATTTTTTTCTCGTCTCTAGAAACTCAAAGCACCTTAGAATCCATGACTACTTTTTCTAGGGTGGGAAATCCATGGGGATATCATTTGAATAATCCATTTAGTTTTTTTGGAGGGTTTTCCATCCCTGGGCGTGACTTCCCCTTGCTTCCAAATTATAGTCCTTAGTTCAAACAACCGCGGATGTAGTCACACACACACACACAAAAAGAGCCAGTTGCACGCAACATGCTGCAGCGAGTAGTTTTATTTTTTCTATTTTGGTAATCTTCAGGTGTCAAATTCAAGGATCTTTTAATTATTTATTATCATCCTGTTTTAGTTTCATGTTTATTTATATTATGAAAAAACCATAAAGGCAACAACTAAGGCCGCCCAAAATTCTGGTCTTTGCTGAGCAGACGGGGCGGTCTGCCCACCCGAAAATTTGATTTCGCACCGCGCCAAGCAGTCCCGCCAACACGCACAAAAAATTAGATGTCTCTCTTTTGCCCTCCACGCGAAAAATAGGTTTACCACTCCATCGATTTCAGACAAGGTTATTTGTGGTAATGTGATGGCCACATAAAAGCGCAAAGAGTCACCATCTCCGTCTCTATCTCCATTCTCCAGCCGCACCGTCTCTCCTCCAGCTCCAATCCTAGTCCCATGGCCTCCCTTTCCACTCTCTAGCCGCCCCCTCTGCCACCCCGCTCCAAACCCTAGACGCCATCAGAACAGCAGCTCAAATCCCTCTCCACTCTCCAGTCACACTCTCTCTCATACATTTCCGAACCCTAGCCAGAGTTGGATCCCCTTTGATTCGTCGACAGCAGGTCGATCAGCTGACAGCAGAAGGACCGCCTCGACGATGGTACAAGCCAGATCCAGACCCCCTACCTAGCTCGGCACCTGCCATGATCGACCAGATCTGATCCCTAGCCAAAGCCAAATCTGGTACCCCTTCATCAACACCGGTCGCACCAGCTCTGTGACCACGATGATAGGATGGCGGTGCCAACAACAAAGCAAAGCCAGGGAACACGAAGGAGGAGGTACCCAAATTCCTTTTATGATGTGTGCTCTAATGTAGTGGCTGAACCAAGGATATGTAGATAGCGATGGGGTTACATATTTCCTATGGTTGAGTATAGCTGACATGTGCTTTATTGGATTGATGACTTCCGTATAAGCTATAGTTACTAGTTAGGTGCTTATTTGCATACTCTTGCTCTACTGTGTTGACAT